GAACTTATTTTGTAATATGTGATGGCTCTATCGATTAACGATGGCGAGTAACGTTTGAGTAAGCAGAACGAAAAATTAATGAAGCAATCATTGTTACTTGTTATAAGTCAACTCGTTCAATGGTAAACTTTCAAAGCAACTTGGATTGTTACTCTTATTGGTATGGTAAATAGTGTGTGTTCGATGCTGATTGATGTATTCATGAACGAATAACAATGCATCGATAAACTTATTTGTTGTTATTCAAAAATTGAACGTTCATATTTATATACCTGAAAATGAGAGCTGTCCTCGAATCCGAGGTAGTCGTCGAAGCGTTGAATAATTTCTGGCGGTACGTATTCGTACAAAACACAACCGGATGATGTTTGCGGTAGATCTTCAGACGTTTGCATAATTTACTGTAATTATCATTACTACTGTATGTCATCACATCCATTCACAACGTTCATCTAATCACGCGAAATGATTTATGTAGATCATTTAACATTATCACGCTGCCGATTGTTATCAACGATGGTGTTTCGTACAACATTTAACGCCAGTTAATCGAAATTATTTCGATTCATTGGTCATATTGTTTTATATACAATGTTCCGTTGTGTCTAATCAGCCTATCTGATCACCGAGGATTTAGTTGAAGTTACTAAGTCGTTTTCATCAATTTCATAGGGGTGGCTGAATAAATGAATAAATAAATATGTATATTTATATATAATCTATGAATACATAATGGCATTTGCAAGATATAACGAGTACAATCATCTCGTCAACAATAACCCAAATCAAAATGAATGACAACGTGAAGTTTTGAATGTTCGAAGTGATGATTAAATGACAGTTAAATGTCGCAAGACTGATCGCTTCAATCTTGAATTGAATGGTGATTTGTTGCGATTGATATGATGGAATGATTGACGAGGTGATATTAAACGAATAATAAAGCATTCATTAGTGCTTTCACTAGTATCAGTAAGAAATTGTGTGCGATATACGATACTTCTTTTATGAGCCTTCCTCATTTCCTGATTACACCTATATTGCCTCTAACCATCTCTAATACAATAAAACAGGTGTCTGTCTGTCTCTTCACACATCAACAACTGCGATTGCATTACGATTGTAATTAATCATCATCCTCTTCAATACACATCGAAGTCTTACGGTAAGTAGTTGATACCTTAAAGGTATGTATCTAGACCCATACATATCAAAGGTATATTTTTAGATCAAACACTGCTTCCGATTTAATTTTGAACAGATCATTCAGATTCTTTGCTTAATTCGTGAAATCATTAGATGAAGCACGAAGTTACTTAGCCATCGTTCTGTTATTCTATTGAAAATAAACGTTTCTCTCGCTTTCGGAATTTATTAGCTTGATATGCGCGTACACGGGAACGAAAACTAAACAAGTTACAGTCAATCCATCATTGAAATACGCACGAATTAAACGAAATCGAGGGATTTTCCGTGTGCAGTGTTATAACTCGCAATTACGATCTTTGGCAGGAAAAATCACTTGAATCCTATCTAATTATCAGTCAACAACATATCACTGTCCTTTTGGAAGCCTTGAAAATGCAAAAGAAAAAACTGTTAACGTTTTTATCGACAATTATCACTATTAAAAACGTTTTTAATAATCAAAGCGATGTGGTTTTCAAAAGTTTTCTATCTTTAAAGCAGTCGTATTTGTCAATAAGATCAAATAATAGATCGAAAAAATCAAAATCCACCTATTTAAGCCATACACATCATAAGTTCGCTAAACGATGATCATGTTAATTAAATTAAATATGTTAAAACAGTTCGAATATTCATTTCAAAGCAATTTTGAGATATGTTATGATATTTCGGTCCCATAACGAACTCTAATCATTGGTGCATAGAGTTGTGTCTGTTAGAATAGTGATAACGTTTAATCGCATTGAATGTTTTCATAAGGATTAAGCAACTGAGCGCAGTTCTTCGATGCACCTCGCTCTGTTTGAAGTATTTTTCTTACTGAAGAAGTTACTTTCATCCATATGCAAATTCGTTTACGTCAAAGGATTACTTTGATATTTGACCTTTAATTTTTACACTAATAAACTCATCAATACCATCATTCGAGTATATGTGATGTGTTTTAAAGCTGCGCCGGCAGAAATTTGAGAAGATGAAGCAGAAAAGTACGGAAAGAACGAAACCGGAATCCATTAAGCGACATGAGTAAAGCCAAATGATTCCAGCTCCTGCCTTCAGGAATCAAAGAAACGAAAGAATTTTAATCCAGAACGTCCGAAGAACCTCTTTCAGCTCGCGATAAAAATCTCTGTGCAACTCTAAACTGAATGACAAGAAAACGTTGCAAAAATGATGAGCGTTCTAGACTGAAATTTGACAAATGATGCAATAGGAGGTGTATGAAATGAAATGAATGCAGTTGAAAGGAGTAATATGAATGATTTTGAAGTGAATATATCATTTATATTCGACTAAGTGGATGTCAACTTGACATATTAACGTTCATTGGAATGCACCATATTACCTATGCTATTTGTTTGTATTTCTTTCATTACTCGTCAAGTTGTTTATTCAACAAATCAGTTAGAGCACTTTTCAGTTGAATTCATAAAAGTATACTGTATCTATTTATCATACGTTGATTTTGTGCATACGGTACAGACTTTCATTCATTTGTGTTCTTTTCATCAAATTCTTCGAATGAAATCTGTTTTGCAAAGAGATGAAATGCTCTCACAATCAGTTAAAAAACGCTCGCCCTATGATTCATTATTGTCAACAACTACTGAGCAATGATACTAATAGTAAGAATAATACAGATAAAACTACTAAAAAAAGATCATTCGGTTGACAGCTCGGCAAAAATGGTCTCGAATGAATGAAATTTGCGCAATTAGCAGTTAGCATTCGCAGAGAACAGTAACCAACAACATCACACAATATATCAACTACTAACGCAGATATTGATAATGAAATGATATGAAAGAAATATATGATTTTATATCTAAAAAAGCAAATTTTCGAATGTTCTGCTACAATAAAATGTTTGAATTGGAACAATAACGAATCATCAGTACGGGCATAAAACGAACAATAACGTGCACAGTTTAATGGTTTCCATACATAAAATGCTTCACTTCACATAAACTCGCTACATAAAACTAATTCGAATCAACCACTTAGCTGAATACTAAAAATGGTTTTTGTGCTCGATCAAAATCCCTCTCAGTTGATCTATTCATGCGAAATATTCATTCATTTGTTGTTGATGCATTTTGTTGCATTCATTCATTCAACTTATACGAATGACTGGAACGAGCTATTGAATGGGAAATTTTATGAAAGTTTACGAAATTACAGCAGACTCTCGAATCGTTCCGATAATATTTTTCAACGCATATCTATCGAATACGATCAGCGACAAACACTCATCAACGAATATAATCACAACATTAAACATTGCAATGTAATCATCGTCTAATATTCATAATAATCTATCGACTGTTTGCTCGTTTTGCAGAATTAGGCGAAAATCAACAGCGGTGATACTAGTGACGGGATCGTTAGCAATACTGCGTATTCATTATACCTTGCTATCGCTAAGCTAAACTAAGTCAAATTTCAGTCAAGGTTTCGTCTCAATTCTAAATCAATTGCAATAATTTTTATGACAAGATCACGTTTCAAGGAGAATTCTTCGCGAAAAACGATGACGTCGGTCGTAAGTACCTTAAATGCACTGAGCAATGAAACTCGGATTTGCAGTATTCGTACAAAAAAANAAAAAAAATGGAATGAAAAATTGATTTTGGTGAACGCGAAAAAGAGAGTAATTCTCGGGGAACGGCAACGAATGAATTCAGAATAATGTGAGTGCACAGTTAGAATGAATGGCTGGCTGCTCGATGGTCGTCAGATGGGTTGTAAAACTGACGATGCAATTTGAAGTGCGTTCAGTGCATAATAAAAGTGATGATGATGATAATGATGATGCATACAATTTTGGATAAAACAAATGAAATGATAATTGTTGAGAGGAGAAGAAGAATTGAGAAGCAAAACATTATTGCATTGAAAACAATCACTTTATACGACTTCAAAGTCACTGATGATAAAGTGGCATTCCTATGGTTTAATCCAGTTATGATGGCAGCTTTACGATAATATTTGTCAAGATCGCGGTTTGATGGCTGACAGCAGCAGCCGCAGCTTCATTCAAACTTGCTGCAAAAAAACAACATTCAGCACTATTCCATCTTACATTCTTCTGCGTTCTTCTCGGCAAACAACTGACTGATCGTTAAATGAATGGTGACGAAGTATTCGGGAAGTGCAATTGTGCACTAAGCTGAAAACTATAATTAAGAAGACCATTCGGAGGCAGCAATCACGTACTTGCCAGAGACTAGCCAATTTAAAGAAAATGTAGAATCCTCCACAACCGTACGCATTTTAGTGAATTCACTTTGAATTGCTTCACAACGTGTCCGTCGTCTGATATGGCACTGATATCATTGATTGATAGTAAATAATGCGTTTGAGATGATGAAACAAACTGAAAAGTGAAGTCGGTCAAATCAGAACAAGATCGATTGATTGCAGATAATGATCGATCATCTTAAAGAATATAGCTTAGGAGATAATCTCGTAGACAAAACTTATCCGACAGTACATAAGAGCAATCAATCGAATGAACTAAATCCAGCAATCATCTTATTTGTTCTACACATTTTAACTAACCTATCATCCATCTCTTTATCCACAACTAAAAAAGCACATATACACTCAATCATAATCTATACATACACACAAACAGAGACAGGTAACCAAGCAACGCCTTATCTCAATATTGAAAAGATAGTTTGTGAAAGAATCGTTGAATAGTTTTCAGATGAAATCACATATCTCAACTCTTCACCTACAAAATCACTCCTTAACTACCAAAAATTTAAACAAATAAAAAAACGCATAATTCTTGAACAGTTCGTTCGACTCTAGATATATGATAATAGGTGATTATTTTATCATATTGTTATACTCATTCAGTGTATCCGTATTGAGATTATACATGAATCGATGTGAATAAATAACTAAAACAATATGAATAAATAAACGAAAATGACTGACGACTGCATTGACAAAACAATAAAGAATAGAATGAGTACACATTAAAACTGAATGAGACAGNCTCTTTTAGTGATTGTAACAGCAATGATCGCTATAGCAATGATCCACGGTTTATGATAAAACATTTGATATGACATTATCCCTGTTTTATGTCACATGAATCGAGTAAACTGCTATTATTTTATTAGTATTATACTATTATTCACATTGTTCGTATCACCATTATTATAACTAAAACTAATATTATTCATATCTTCGT